CCTCCGTCTTGATGTGCCGAGCAGTCGTGAGACAGGGACTCTTGCCAGAGGGGGAGTGTTCGGGGCTCTTGCCTCGTTGTTGTTTGCGAAGTGTGTTCGCCGCTGAGCTTCCAGCAGGGGCGTTGGCTTGAACGAACACCTTCCCATGCAGGGCAAACCTCCCTCTGCAGCGCAACCTGTTTGTCTTCACATTCCCCTTGGGTTTACCTCTGTAATTTGGGGCTGTCGGGCGTAGCAGCTGCCCTCTTCCAGGTGAGGGACTTGGCAGAGATGGCCTCTCCCCGGAGGCCTAAGATGGGAGGCGTTTCTCTTGCAGTTTCGCTTCTCAGAGCAGCTGCCGGCTGGCTCCCCAGCCAGTCCCCCTCCCACCTCTCCCTGGCTTCAGCAGACAGGCGTGCCAACCTCCAGGGGGCACCTGGAGCTCCCCCGCTTATTGCAATCGATATCCAGACGGCCGAGATCAGTTCCCTTGGAGAAAACGGCTACTTTGGAGGGTGGACTCCCTGGTATTATACCCCTAGTTTGTCCATCATCTCCCCCAAATCCCACACACCCCATACCTCCCCCCCCCAAAAAAAAAATCTCCAGATCTTTCCCATCCCAGAGTTGGCAAGACTGTCAGCAGAAGATCTCTCTTGTGTATGTCCGTGTGCAGCGAAAGTCATGTATCCAAAAAGACGTTTGGTGTATCAAGTAATCCAGCAAATGTTTCCTCCAGCTTTTGGCCCTGAACTGACTAGGCCGTCTCTTTGGCTGGTGGCACCGGGATATCAGCTGCCAGTCTTTTCTGATTTGATTTGACCGTTTTCTTTGGCAGGAGGAGGTCACCAAAGGGAGGGAAAGATGGGGGGGGGGTGTTGGCCACTCTGTGCCGAGTAATCTCACAGTGGGGGACAACATCTTCTCCGAATCCACTCTCAGTTTGAAAAGGCCCCGAGACCAGACGGGCTTTCAAAACGGCTTCTGAGCGTCCTCCTCCTCCCCGGTGAATGTAAAGAAGGTTTGGTTTCAGAATGTTTCTGGACCATTGGATCACCCAGCACCGGGAAATCAGGATTGAGCCTGAACGCAACTGACGGCCGCTTCCAGCAGGCGTGCCAATGGGGAAGTTCCAGCACGGGCGTGCCCGGAAGGTGCCCTAGGATTGCGCCAACTCTCTTGGCACGGATGGCTGTTTCCTTTGCCCTTCCTGCCCTCAGCCAGCATGCCCAAATGATGTCATGCTTGTTCAGGACGCAGAAGTGTGGGATGAGAGCTCGTCTAAGTCTTTCGTCGTCTGAGTAGATGTTGTCCCAGATTGGGAAAGTGTGAGAAGAGAAGAGAGAGAAGAGATTGGATTTATAGCCCGCCCTTCACTTGGAGTCTCAGAGCGGCTTACAAACTCCTTTACCTTCCCCTCCCCACAACAGACACCCTGTGAGGTGGGTGGGGCTGAGAGAGCTCTGACACAAACTGCCCTTTTTCAAGGACAGCTGTGCCAGAGCTTGTGACTGACCCAAGGTCACATCAGCAGGTGCAAGTGGAGGAGTGGGGAATCAAACCCGGTTCTCCCAGATTAGAGTCCGCACACTTAACCACGACACCAAACTGGCTGCAATGGGTATTCCTTCCTGGCTTGCCCGGATCTTCCCTTCCCGGTTCAAAGGCTTTGGCGTGGACTACCGGGAATTGTGCTCTAAACTGGGCAGCCCAGTCTAGCCTGGTCTCAGAAGCTGAGTGGGGCCGGCCCTGGTCAGCATTTGGATGAGAGGCCACCAAGGGAATCCAGGGTCGCCACGCAGAGGCAGGCCATGGCCAACCACCGTCATCAGATCTTGGAAAGCTAAGCAGGGTCGGGGGCAGGGCTATTTTGGGGCAGGAACGCACAGGAACGGAGTTCCGGCTGGCTCCCAAGTTGGCCACGCCCAGCAGGAACTCATTAGCATAACAGGCCACACCCAACAGCAGGAACTCATTAGGATTGGCTACAATTAGGGGTGTGTGGCCTAAAATGCAAAGGAGTTCCTGCTACAAAAAAGCCCTGGGTTTTGACAACAAACAAGGTAAACAGAATAAGAAGCAAAAGGTGGGTGTGGCTAGATGACCACACTTCTGGTAACGTGGGGGTGTGGCCTCATATGCTAATGAGCTGTGCTGTCAGGGGTGTGGCCTAATATGCTAATGAGTTCCTGCTGTGAGGTGTGGCCTATTATGCTAATGAGTTCCTGCTGGGCTTTTTCTACAAAAAGAGCCCTGGACTCGGGGGAATGGGGGAACCACTGAGGAAGTGCAGGGTTGTTACACCAAGGCAGGCCATGGCAGACCACCTTTGAACGTCTCTTGCCTCGGAAACCCCACAGGGTAACCTGTCAGCTCCAACTTCACCACACTGACACTGTCGATCTGCAGGCATACAGGAGATCTCCCGACTTGTGGGTTGGGGGGGGGGAGGCCCTTGCATTTGGCCGTTCCAGGTGGGATTTCTTCCTTCCGGGGTTCCAGCGGCTGGAAACTCCGGCTCATCAAAGGCTCCCCCGTGTGCGTGTCTTGCGAACACGCGAACGAAATCTCCATCAGTAAGCAGAGTGTGAGTCATCACACCCGGCGGTGTCTTTCTCTTCCCAGGCTCTGGCCGTTTCCCGTCTTTGCCAAAAAGCGGGGGGAAGCGTAAAATTTCCAGAAATTTTGAAGCTAGGAAAAAAACCCATTTTTTTTCCGGGGGGAAACGGAAATTTTAGGAAAACTTGAAAAAAATGCTACATTACCGCTTCTTTTTTTCTTTTCCAGACTGAAAGTCATTCTGTTACTTCAAGAACATAAAATATGACTATGGACATTTTTTCTTGGCATGAAATTATCACAACTAGGATATTAAAATATAGTGTATCCAAGCAATTATTACAAACAGAATACCCACCCACATGCAAAAACAAAACTGAAACCTTTTGAGCACCTCCTAAAGGAAGAAATGCATCTTGTTCTTGCATTGGAGAGTTCAGTTTGTAACCTAGGACTTGCTTGTCCTCAGTGCACAGATATTAGATCGGAAAAAAACAAAAAAGGCTTCTGGGAAAAAATGGTTTTTTTCCCAAATTTTTCCAGTTTTTTCCCGGGCCTTCACATGGGGGTTAAGAAACTCGACTGGGGGCAAATAGGCGTGGGACAGCCCACCAGAATAAAGGCCCCCGTCCCTGCTGGTGCAGTTGTGATTCGGGCCCCGGCCGTGGGTGTAGCCAGTGCCTCTGCTGTTAGAACCCTGCCAGCTCAAAGGAGTCCCCTTCAGAACAAAGTTTGAGTCCACTGGCACCTTTAAGACCACGTTTTCTTCTGGGGATAGGCTTTTGTGTGCACGCACACTTCTAGTTAAGCTTCGTTGGTTAGTGTTCCCTCTAAGCTGAGTCAGTGTGGGCTAGCTCATAGTCTTTTAGCCTCCGGCTCACACATTTTTGTCTTAGCTCAGAAAGGAGGGCTCCAGAGCAAACTAATTTATGCAGTAGCTAAAAACCACTCGCTCACAACTTCAATGCCAGTAGCTCACCAAGTAGAATTTTTGCTCGCAGGACTCCACAGCTTAGAGGGAGCCTCGGTTGTTGGTCTTAAACTTTGCTGGTCTTAAAAGGTGCCTGACTGGACTCAAACTTTGTCCTGCCGCTTCAGGGCAACACGGTGACCCCATCTGCGTCCCCTTCAGGTCACTGGAAACCGGCTTCTGCCACGTCTGCCCTCTCCCTCCGAGACGTAATTGTGAGTTTGCGTTTAGAGGCGGGCCGCCCATCCGCCTCCTTGTTTGCAAAGCACCAGAGCCGGTCGCGGTGATCCCCGTTATCTAATCGCTCCAGCCGCTCCTGGGAAGTGGCCCTCTGAGTTGGAATGTGGGAGAAGGAGGAAGCAATCGGGAAAGGCGGGCGGGATCGGCAGCTACTTTTCCATCCTCGGCTCCAGCACAGGCCTTTCCGAGCGACACTGTCCCGCCACGTGGTTGGAATGGATAAGACTGCCTGGAGCGTTCAGACTGAGAAACCATGCAGGGAAGACCTCGGCCAAGCCCAGAATCCAGAGCTTTGCAAGGAGTGGCTTGGGGAATCTGGTGTTTCCCAGATGAGCACGTGCCTGCCCTTTCTGGTGACAGAGGGGGGGGGGCATTTCTGTTAGCAACCGGCCTCAGGCGCCGGCTGCCGGAGAGTTCTGTCACCACATTCATTGTTCATCTGGTCCCCTCCTCTGTGACTCAGCCGGTCCCCACAGGCTTCCCTTTCCCCGGCAGGCAGGAAGCGCTACAATCCTGCTGCATGACCTGTTCCTGGTGGTATTTCCCCCCCCATCCAAGTTAAGCGACATCCTCCATTTATTCTCTGCGCCTGTGTGTCACTAGCCAGAGGCTTACATTTCATTGGAACCAGGAGCGGTGGCTCTCTCTTGAGTGTACAGGGGGAGATCTGCATCTTCCATTAATTCCAGCTGACATTTAATGCCTCGGAGAAGTGCCTGGGGAACGGGACCCTTGGTTTCCACGGTGCACGTTCCTTAATCCTCATTGTAAATTATGGGAATGTCCAGGCATGCAATAGCCAGCGGCCGCCCTCCTAAAACCCCTGAAACTCTGGCCAGGCAGTGAGATAGAAGAGGGTCAGTTGCCCGATTCGTGACCAGGTTAACGTCTTTTGACCTTCACACCAGCCCACTTTCAGACTTTTGGCTTCACCCGGGAGGACAGGCAACCAGTGTTTCCTCTAAGCTTAGTTAGTGTGAGCGAGCTCACAGTTTTTTAGCCTCCAGCTCACATTTTTGCCTTAACTCAGGAAGAGCAGCTCCAGAGCAAACTATGCAATCGCTCGCTCACAACTTTAATGCCAGGAGCTCACATTTTTGCTCGCAAGACTCCACAGCTTAGAGGGAGCATTGCAGGCCACTGCCCACTTGCCTTGAAATGCTGTTTATGCCTGGGAATGTTGCCAGCGAAAGCTGCTCCCATCCCACCCGCATGACCCTTTCTCTGACTCCCCTCTCTGTGTTCGTCGCAGGTGGTCTTTGGGAGGAAGCTGACGTCCTTTTCGACGATACCCCTCCATCAGCTGCAGCACGAGAAGAAATACGATATCTATTTTACTGATGCAAAAGTTTATGCTCTATATAGGTAAAAAGACCCCCTCCTTTGGCCGCTTCCCGTGGGTAATCTGGGTGGGGTTTGGGTTACAAGGGGGACTGATGGAAGGGAGCCGGGGGGGGGGGTATCCTTCCTCTGGAGGTAACTATATTGCCCCGTGCTGGTTTGCAGGGCTGTAAGGGCTTACCCCATAAGGACACCACCTGCTGAATCAGAGCACAGGTCCATCTAGGTCAGCATCCTGTCTCACATAGTGGCCAACCAGTCCCTCTAGAGGAGGCCTTCCCCTGAGGAGGACATCTGAAGAGCCCTGCTGGATGAGACCAGTGAGGGTTCATCTAGTCCAGCAATCCCGTCTCAGACAGTGGCCAGCCCGTTCCTCTAGAGGGCCAACAACAGGGCAGAGAGGCCGAGGCCTTCCCCTGACAAAGACATCAGAAGAGCCCTGCTGGATCTGACAGTGGACCATCCAGTCCAGCATCCTGTCCCACACAGAGGCCAGCCAGTTCCTCTAGAGGGCCAACAACAGGGCACAGAGGCCGAGGCCTTCCCCTGAGAAGAACCTCAGAAGAGCCCTGCTGGATCAAACCAATGGTCCATCCAGTCCCATATCCTGTCTCACACGGTGGCCGACCAGTTCCTCTAGAGGGCCAACAACAGGGCAGAGAGGCCAAGGCCTTCCCCTGAGAAGAGCACCAGAAGAGCCCTGCTGGATCAGACCAGTGAGGGTCTCTGTAGACCAGCGAGGGTCCATCTAAGTCCAGCATCCCGTCTCACACAGTGGGCAACCAGTTCCTCTGGAGGGCCAGCAACAGGGCAGAGAGGCCGAGGCTCTCCGCTGAGAAGGGCATCAGAAGAGCCCTGCTGGATCAGACCAGTGAGGATCTGTGTAGACCAGCATCCCGTCTCACAGAGCGGCCCGAGAGTTCCAGGTGGACAAAGGCTGTCTGGTTCTGCCCAGCCCGCACCCAAAAACTAGCTTGTAGGCGGGGATGTAAGCGAGGCCGTTGTTGTGCCCCAGAATGGGAGTTCGTGAGCAACTAAAGGAGGTTGCCCAGGAGTGCGGAGTCGGGGCCTCAGCGCCCTGCCATCGATTGAGCCGCTGCAGAGCTGTCTGCCTGACATGCAGGCTCCAGAATGCCAGCTTGTGAAAGAGAAGCTGGAGTCTTAATGGGGGGCTGAATGTGAGGGTGGGCTTCCCGCCCTGCCAGCTTCCATCCTCCTCCTTTCCCCCCTTCTCTCCCAGGAAGCTCTTGCAGCACGAATGCCCACTGTGCCCGGAGGCCAGGCCCTTCGCCACCATCGTGGAGCTGGAGCAGCACATGAGGAAGCAGCACGAGCTGTTCTGCTGCAAGCTGTGTGTGAAGCACCTGAAGGCAAGTGGGCGGCCGCGGGGGCCTCCGTCTCGCGGGTCTCCCCGAGCCCTGCCTCTCCGGCGCTTGACCGGGGCGCCTCCCCTTTTCTCTTCCAGATCTTCACGCACGAGCGCAAGTGGTACTCGCGCAAGGACCTCGCCCGGCACAGGATCCACGGGGACCCTGACGACACCTCTCACCGCGGGCACCCCCTGTGCAAGTTTTGCGACGAGCGCTACTTGGACAACGACGAGTTGCTGAAACATTTGAGGCGAGACCACTACTTCTGCCACTTCTGCGATTCCGAGGGGGCCCAGGAGTATTACAGGTTTGTGACCGGGAGAGGAACGGCGGTCCCGTCACTCGTGGGTTCCTTAACCCCCGCTTCCCCCATCCCCCCCAGTAGTTGATACTAGAAGAAGAGATTGGATTTATATCCCGCCCTTCACTTGGAGTCTCAGAGGGGCTCACAATCTTCTTTCCCTTCCCCCCCCTCCCCTCCCAACAGACACCCCGTGAGGTCGGTGGGGCTGAGAGAGCTCTGACTGAGAACTGCTCTTGAGAGAACAGCTCTGAGAGAACTTGTGACTGACCCAAGGTCACCCAGCAGGTCCACATGGAGGAGTGGGGAAATCAAACCCGTTTCTCCCAAATTAGAGTCCGTGCTTCCAACCATGACACCAAACTAGGAGACTAAGATTCTGTTCCCATTGGTGCTTAGCTGTCTGTTGAATCCACTGACATGATTTGAATGGCTAGTGCACGATTTATATTCAGATCTTGCTAAAGAGGGGAGGAAGTCCTGATCAGACCAAAGTGCCATGGTTTTGTATTTTGTTTTGGGGTTGTTTTTTTTCCAGCAAGGGGTGAGGTAGAGCACAGGTCTCCAACACAGTGCCCACGGGCACCACGACACCAACTTACACCTTCCCTGGTACCTGCCAAGTGTTTTCAAGCATGTGGGTGGGGCCAAGTGGGGGTTTTTACCCTGAAAGGCTTCTGATTGGTTGACCGGCCGTGCTGTGTCAAACTTCCAAAGGTGCCCACAGGCTCAGAAAGGTTGGGAACCCCTGGGTTACGGCCAATGCATCCTCTAAGCTGTGGAGTCTCGTGAGTAAAAATTCTACTTTGTGAGGCCCTGGCATTAAAGTTGCGAGTGAGCCATTTGGCTGCTGCAGAAATCAGTTTGCCCTGGAGCCGTCCTCCCTGAGCGGAGAGACAAATGTGTGCGCCAGAGGCTAAGAAAGCTGTGAGCTGGCTCACACTGACTCAGCCTAGAGGGTTAGGGTTAGCTCCAGGCTTCCCGTCCCTCTGGTTTCCCATCCGTTGTTTTGCCACAGTGAGCCCCCACGTCCTAAAAAGCTCGATGTGCCGCTGAGCCGATGCCTTTTCCTGCCCCTTCCCCTCGCTTTCCCGCCCCTCCCGCAGCGATTACGAATACCTCCGGGAGCACTTCCGCGAGAAGCATTTCCTCTGCGAGGAAGGGCGCTGCAGCACCGAGCAGTTCACCCACGCCTTCCGGACCGAGATCGACTACAAGGCGCACAAGACGGCCTGCCACAGCAAGAACCGGGCAGAGGCCAGGCAGAACCGGCAGATCGACCTGCAGTTCAACTACGCTTCTAGGCACCAGCGGAGGAATGAGGGTAGGGAGGACTGGCCGAGGTGGGATTTTTTTTGGGGGGGGGGTTTAGCCCCTGGCTACGGGTTGGCCCCTTGGCTCGGAATACGTTCCCCTCGAGTCAAGCCGTCTAGTCCCCTTCCAGCCGTTTGGAAGACCGGGGATTCCTTCTCGGTGCCCGAAAAGCTCAGGAGGCAGAGAGATTGGATGCAGTTTTCTGGAACTGCCTCACGAACACATGAATCTGCCTTATACTGAATCAGACCCTTAAGAACCTCAGAAGAGCCCTGCTGGATCAGACCAGTGAGGGTCCATCTAGTCCAGCATCCTGTCTCACACAGGGGCCAGCCAGTTCCTCTGGAGGGCCAGCAACAGGGCAGAGAGGCCAAGGCCTTCCCCTGATAAGAACCTCAGAAGAGCCCTGCTGGATCAGACCAGTGAGGGTCCATCTAGTCCAGCATCCTGTCTCACACAGGGGCCAGCCAGTTCCTCTGGAGGGCCAGCAACAGGGCAGAGAGGCCAAGGCCTTCCCCTGATAAGAACCTCAGAAGAGCCCTGCTGGATCAGACCAGTGAGGGTCCATCTAGTCCAGCATCCTGTCTCACACAGGGGCCAGCCAGTTCCTCTGGAGGGCCAGCAACAGGGCAGAGAGGCCAAGGCCTTCCCCTGATGTTGCCTCCTGGCTCTGGGATTCAGAGGTCAACTACCTCTGAACATGGAGGTTCCCCCAGTCACCGTGGCTAGTAGCCACTGAGAGACCTCTCCTCCATGAATCTATCAAATCTCCTTTAAAAGCTGTTTATTCCTGTGGCCATCGCACAACATCCTCTGGCAGCAAATTCTGCATTTCAATCACTCTCTGTGTAAAGTAGTATTTCCTTCTGTCCGTCCTGAACCTCCTGCCCATCGGCTTCGTTGGATGCCCTCGAGTTCTAGTCTTTGGGGAGAGGGAGAAAAATGTCTCTTCATCAGTTCTCTCCACCCCATACATCATTTTATAAACCTCTCTCATGTACTACCTTAGTAATTTCTTTTCTACACTGAAAGGACCCTTTGTCCATCGGAAGTCGCCTGCTCAGACCAGCAGTGGCTCTCCAGGGTCTCAGGCGGGGGTCTTTCACATTACCTACTGCAAGACCCTTTAACTGGAGATGCTGCCGGGGATTGAACCTGGGACCTTCTGCCTGCCAATCAGAGGCTCTGCCACTGAGCCACAGCTCTCCGAGAAAGCAGATCCCACCGCATCCCTAGGTGGGCTGTTCTCTCATAAGAACATAAGAGACGCCAGTGTTGGATCAGGCCAAAGGCCCATCCAGTCCAACACTCTGTGTCACACAGTGGCCAAAAATACCAGGTGCCCTCAGGAGGTCCACCAGTGGGGCCAGGACATCAGAAGCCCTCCCACTGTTGGCCCCCCCAAGCACCAAGAAGACAGGGCATCACTTGCCCCAGAGTCCCTATCTATACCTTGTGGCTAATAGCCACTGATGGACCTCTGCTCTGTATGCTTATCTAATTCCCTTTTGAAGCCGTCCATTCTTGTAGCCGCCACCTCCTCCTGTGGCAGTGAATTCCATGTGTGAATCACTCTTTGGGTGAAGAAGGACTTCCTTTTATCCGTTCTAACCCGACCGCTCAGCGATTTCATGGAGTGCCCACAAGGAGTTCTTGTATTGTGAGAAAGGGAGAAAAGGACCTCTTTCTCTGCCTGCTCTATCCCATGCATAATCCTGTAAACCTCGATCATGTCTCCCCTTAGTCGTCGTTTCTCCAAGCTAAAGAGCCCCAAGCGCTTTGACCTTTCCTCATAGGGAAAGTGTTCCAACCCTTTTATTGTCTCTCCATCCATTGCCCTGCGTGGGTCACCTTAGCCAAGGCCTGTGCCATCAGCTCCGTGACGGAATGCTTCTGCCTAAAATGGGGAGGAATAAGGGTCGAGTGAAGCCGTCGATCATCCTCATGTCTTCATGTCCCAGGTGTCGTCGGCGGAGAAGACTACGAAGAGGTCGACAGATACAACAGGCAGGCGAGAGGAGGCCGGACAGGACCACGTGGCGGGCAACAGAACAGGAGAGGAAGCTGGCGGTATAAGAGGTAAGGAGCAGCGTCTGTCGGGGGAGTGGTTTTTTTGCAGGTTCGGAAGCTGTTTGGCAGTGCAGTTTGGAAGGCAGCGTGTAGCAACCTGGCTGGTCAGCACACGCGCTTATGGAACAAAAATGTGCTCAAGTCCAGGCAAGAGAGACGAATGCAAAGGGGAGGGGTTTGCTCTTTTGCTCTGCCAATGTCCTCTGTCTTCCACCCCCTCCCCCCGAATCCTAAAAGAACTCCCAGCAGCATGTAGCTAAAACGATGGTACAGTGGTGTATAAAGTCATACCTTTTGATGGCGAGTTGCCTGAATAAAATGTCCGTGAAACAATGTAGGTAGGAGACAGCAACCCCGGGGGAGGCCACGTGTGGACGCCGGCGGCCTCAGCCAAAAGCCAGGCAGAACAGCTCCGTCTTGCAGGCCCTGCAGAACTGAGAAAGACCCCGCGGGGCCCTGACCTCGATGGGGAGCATGTCCCGCCAGGTGGGGGCCAGGGTGGAAAAGGCCCTGGCCCTGGTCAAGGCTAGGCGGACGTCTTTTGGGCCAGGGACCGCCAGGAGATGTTGATTCCTAGAGCGTAAAGCTCTCCGAGGCGTATACAGGAAGAGGCGGTCCCTTAGATACGTTGGTCCCAGGCCGTATAAGGCTTTGAAGGTGATAACCAACACCTTGAAAAAGGAGCTGGGGTGGCTCAAGTGGTTAAGACGCTGAACTGCAGGCTGTGGAAGGTCGGCAGTTCAGCAGTTCGAGACCCGAGTTGCCGCATGACGGAGTGAGCTCCCGTCTCTGGTTCCAGCTCCTGCCAACCTAGCAGTTCGAAAGCAAGAAATTGCAAGTAGATAAATAGGTACCACTTCGGTGGAAAGGGAACAGCGTTCCGTGCGCCTGGGCGTTTAGTCATGCCGGCCACATGACCACGGAAACGTCTTCGGACAGCGCTGGCTCTTCGGCTTTGAAACGGGGATGAGCGCCGCAACCCCAGAGTCGGACTTGACTGGCTTTCGAGCAAGGGAGACCTTTACCTTTCCCAACACCTTGAAGCGGACCCGGTACTCAAGTGGTAACCGATGCAGCTGGCAAAGCACCCGCCGAACGTGAGCCCGCACGGGCGTCGACGTCAGCAGGGGCGCCCCCGCCGCATTTTGTACCCGCTGTGATTTCCGGATCAGTCTCGGGGCAAGCCTGCGTGGAGCGAGTTGCAGTGATCGAGCCTGGAGGAGACCATTGCATGGGTGACGGTGGCTAGGTCAGGGGGGGGGGGGGGAGGGGGTGATCTGCCTAAGACGGAAGAGTGCCGATCTGGCCCCTGCGGCAACCTGGGCCTCCCTGGAGAGAGAGGCATCCACAGTGTGACTCCCAGGCTTCCAGTGTGGGGAGCCTGGTGCCCACATCCATGCCCCCTCGACCCCAGGTACGGGACCGCCGTTGTGTGGCCGAGCACATTCCCCCCGCAGCCTTTCCCCGTGAGTGCTGTGACCCAGAAACATGCCACGTTACATGAGGCTATGCAGGGCTCTTTTTGTAGCAGGTACTCATTTGCATATTAAGCGACACACACCCTAATGTAGCCAATCCTCCAAGAGCTTACAGTAGCCCCTGTAAGAAGAGCTCTGTAAGCTCTTGGAGGATTGGCTACATTAGGGGTGTGTGGCCTAATATGCAAAGGAGTTCCTGCTACAAAAAGAGCCCTGCTAGGGGGCTTGGGTCGCCGGGCTCCATCCTGAAAGCCGTGTAGCCACCACCACCCCTGCACGCACACGCTGGGAGTCCCAAACCCTTTGGCCGTGCCCATCAGCAGCAGGAGGGGGTCGTGGACAGAGAAGGGAGAAAAACACACCACCACCACCACCCCGGCTCACCGAGCTCTTCTCTGTCGCGGCGGCTGAAACCTCTGCAGGGAGGAAGAAGACCGGGACATCGCCGCAGCCGTCAGGGCGTCGGTCGCCGCCAAAAGGCAGGAGGAGAAGAAACGGGGGGAGGACAAAGAGGACGGGGGCCGGGCCAGGAAGGAGGAGGCGAAGGAGGCGGAGGCGGGCGCCTCAAAGCGGGTGCCGAATCCCCCCTCGGAAGCCCCCCCAGGTGAGCCGGAAGGGCAGCCGCGGGGCCGGTGGGAGGAGGGCGGGCGCGTGATGTCAGAGGGCGCTTTGGGCCAGGCCTGCAAACGCTGTTTCCCACCCCAGGGCCCAAGGAAGCGGCTGCGAAGGCCGTGCTGAGCCAAGAGGACTTCCCCGCCTTCGGATCGCCCGCAGTTGTCTCCACGCAAAGGTGAGTCTCGGTGATTCTGGAAAGGATCCCGCCGGAAAGAACCCAGGAGCCAGGGAGTCTTACGCCCAGTGCCCGAGTCTCTGGGCCAAACCTCTCTCCAGTCTGGCTCTCAGGAGCATGTCGGCATAAGAGTTGTCGGGTGAGCCAGTTTGGTGCTAGTGGTTAGGCACGCGGACTCTAATCTGGGAGAACCGGGTTTGATTCCCCACTCCTCCACATGCGCCTGCTGGTGTGACCTTGGGTCAGTCACAAGTTCTCTCAGAGCTGTTCTCTCAAGGGCAGTCCTCGAAAGAGCTCTCTCAGCCCCACCTGCCTCACAGGGTGTCTGCTGTGAGGAGGAGACGGGAAAGGAGATTGTAAGCTGCTCTGAGACTCCTCTGGGTAGTGACGGGTGGGGTATAAATGCAGTCTCACTTCTCCTTGTCTGATTTTCGGTGAAGCCAAGCCCTTTGTTTTTCCTGAGAGAAAACCTCTCTGCTGCCTTTGACACTGTTCCTTAGCAAGAGAGGTGGTGAGCTCCCCCTCACTGGCAGTCTTCAAACAGCGGCTGGACAAACGCTTGTCGGGGATGCTCTAGGCTGATCCTGCATTGAGTGGGGGGTGGACTAGATGGCCTCACTGGGCCCCTCCCAACTCTGTGGTTCTGCTCTGCCTCGGCTGCTTCCTTCTGCTGACCGTGGAGAGCACTCAGGGGCCATTCTCTTCCTGACTGAGCCTCAGAAAGGCTCTCAAGTCTCTTCTCTGGCCATTCCTCTTTCTCTTCACACTGTTCAGTATGCGCAGCTCTCTCCTTCCTCCTTCCAGAGTTGGTTCGCTGTTTGGCCTCCAAAAGCACTGCGAGGGGAAAGCATTACAGGGCTATTTTTGGGCAGGAACGCACAGGAACGGAGTTCCGGCTGGCTCCCGAGTTGGCCACGCCCAGCAGGAGCTCATTAGCATAACAGGCCACACCCAGCAGCAGAAACTCATTAGGATTGGCTACATTAGGGGTGTGTGGCCTAACATGCAAAGGAGTTCCTGCTACAAAAAAAGGCCCTGGGTTTGGACAACAAACAAGGTAAACAGAATAAGAAGCAAAAGTCTGAATGACCACACTTCTGGTAACACGGGGGTGTGGCCTAATATGCTAATGAACCACGCTATCGGGGTGTGGCCTAATATGCGAATGAGTTTCTGCTGTTGGGTATGGTCTATTATGCTAATGAGTTCCTGCTGGGCTTTTTCTACCAAAAAAAAAGCCCTGGAAAGCAATAACCCCGATCTCCCCCCCCCAAAAAAAGCAGCCTCCTTCCTGTCCCGTTTCCCTCCATAAACCAGAAAACCAACACGGAGTAGACTTCCCCTGCAGACGATGCTCGAATGCTGCGGGGCGGGTTTCTGTTCACGGGTCCTCTCTTCCTCACAGCCCGGCCCAGCCGGCTCCGGTGAAGCTGAAGGAAGAGGACTTCCCCAGCCTCTCTTCCGCGGCATCCATCACCGTCCCCTCTGCAATGTCCCTGTCGTACACGGCGACCGCCCAGAAGACGTCCTTTCAAGAGGAGGACTTCCCCGCCCTGGTATCCAAAGTCCGGCCAAGCAACAAGACCTTCTCCACCCTCTCCTCTGCCTGGAACAACAGCTCCGTCAAGAACGCGGTCAGAGCTGTGGCCCCGAGCTCTGCGGGCACCGGTCAGCCCGCAAAGAAGTTGGTGCCGGCCGGTGGCAGCAGAGGAAGCAAGAAGGCCAAGCCCGCCGCCCTCGACGTCGAGGATGACAGTGTTGGCGGCCTCACGAGTCAGGAGATCCGCAGCACCCCGACGATGGTGGACGTGTCCTCCTTGCTGGTGGCCCCGAACGCTCAGACTTTTCTGAAAGTGGGCAGGAAGAAGAAAGTCGGGGCGGAGAAGCAGAGGGCATCGCCGCCCCCTGTGGCACCGCAGGAGCTTCCGCCCCCTGTCCCTTCTGGAGAGAGGGAGCCAGAGGCAGAGGCCCCGCCGAGCGCCCCCACGAATGCCGCCGTAGCGGAGAGAGCGGCGGCGGTTGTGAACGGCTACTCGGAGAAGCCCGCCCCGTGCAAAGCTTCCAAGGAGCCACCTGGCCTCAGGAAGCCCCCCGCGGCCAGCCAGCCCCTCTTGCCTCAGGAAGACTTCCCAGCCCTCGGCAGCTCCGGATCACCTCGAATGCCGCCTCCGCCAGGTAAGGGCGCCGAGAGAGGTCATTCCCCTGTTCCGAACGTAACGTCAGGTCACCTGTGCGGGACGAGGCCAGTGGTCCTTCCACTCCGGCAGCTGGCTTCCGACAGCGGCTGGTCGGATGCCACAGAGGACCTCCCCACCCACCCCCCGGCTGCAGGGCCTGCCAGGAGCGGCCCCTTCCCCAGCACTGACCAAGACGATTTGAGGGTTGGAGCCCCTTCCCTAGGAGGAAAGGCTGAGGAGTCGGGGACTTTGCTATTTAGAAAAGAGGCGACTAAGGAGGGACATGATAGAGGTTCATAAAATTAGGCACAGGGTGAAGAGAGGGGACAAAGAGAACTTTTTCTCCCTCTCCCAAAAGACTAGAACTCAAGGGCATCTAGTGAAGCTGATGGGCAGTAGGTTCAGGACGGACAGAAGGAAATATGTCTTTACACAGTGAGTGATTAAAAGGTGGATGGCCTCAGCTTCTGTGCCCTGTTGCTGGCCCTCCAGAGGAACTGGTTGGCCACTGTGTGAGATGGGATACTGGACTAGAGGGACCCTCCCTGGTCTGACCCAGCAGGGCTCTTCTGAGGTTTTTATTGGGGGAAGGCCTCGGCCTCTCTGCCCCGTTGCTGGCCCTCCAGAGGAACTGGTAGGCTGCTGTGTGAGACAGGAGGCTGGACTAGATGGACCCTCCCTGGTCTGACCCAGCAGGACTCTTCTGAGGTTTTTATTGGGGGAAGGCCTCGGCCTCTCTGCCCCGTTGCTGGCCCTCTAGAGGAACTGGTAGGCTGCTGTGTGAGACGGGATGCTGGAATAGATGGACCCTCCCTGGTCAGATCCAGCAGGGCTCTTCTGATGTTCTGATCAGGGGAAGGCCTCGGCCTCCATGCCCTTTTATTGGTCCTGTAGAGGAACTGGTTGGCCCCTGTGTGAGACGGGATGTTGGACTAGACAGACCCTCACTGGTCTGATCCAGCAGGGCTCTTCTGATGGTCTTATCAGGGGAAGGCCTCGGCCTCTCTGCCCCGTTGTTGGCTCTCCAGAGGAACTGGTTGGCCACTGTGCGAGGCAGGATGGTGGACTAGATGGACCCTCACCGGTCTGACCCAGCAGGGCTCTTCTGAGGTTCTTGTCAGGGGAAGGACTCGGCCTCTCTGCCCTGTTGCTGGCTCTCCAGAGGCCCCTGTGTGAGACGGGATGCTGGACTAGAGGGACCCTCACCGGTCTGACCCAGCAGGGCTCTTCTGAGGTTCTTATCAGGGGAAGGCCCATCCAGTTCAACACACTGTGTCACACAGTGGCCGAAAATCCCAGGTGCCCTCAGGAGGTCCAGCAGTGGGGCCAGGACACTAGAAGCCCTCCCACTGTTTGCCCCCCCCCACAAGCACCAAGAGTACAGAGCAACCCTTGCCCCAGACTGAGAGTTCCTACTTATACCTTGTAGCTAATAGCCACTGATGGACCTCTGCTCTTAACATAAGAACATAAGAGAAGCCAATGTTGGATCAGGCCAGTGGCCCATCCAGTCCAACACTCTGTGTCACACAGTGGCCAAAAAACCCAGGTGCCCTCAGGAGGTCCACCAGTGGGGCCAGGACACTAGAAGCCCTCCCACTGTTTGCCCCCCCCCCACAAGCACCAAGAGGACAGAGCATCCCTTGCCCCAGACCGAGAGTTCCTGTCTATACCTTGTGGCTAATAGCCACTGATGGACCTCTGCTCTTAACATAAGAACATAAGAGGAGCCAATGTTGGATTGGACCAATGGCCCATCCAGTCCAACACTCTGTGTCACACCGTGGCCAGAAATACCAGGTGCCATCAGGAGGTCCACCAGTGGGGCCAGGACACTAGAAGCCCTCCCACTGTTGCCCCCCCCCCCAAGCATCACATGCCTCAGACTAAGAGGTCCTATCTATAGCTTGTGGGATCGCGAGCTATGGGATTGTGGAGCCGTGTCCCCCGAGTGTCACAGGCGAGCCGAATCCAGCGCCCCCAAAAAACATCTGTGCTCCAATGGAACACAGGCTCGGTGGCAGAGAACCAGGTTTGGCCCAAGGTTTGGCGCTTTGGGAGCGGGGCCGCTGCCACGATGGGAAAAGCAGAATCCCCCACAAGCGCCACCCTACGCTCCCCGACAGGCAAAGGGGAAACACGACTTCACACCTGTGGAACTCACTGCCACAAGCTGTGGTGAAAGCGGCTGGCTCAGGTGGGTTTAAAGGGGGTGGGGGACAGACTTAGGACAGAAAGGTAGCACTTGAAGGGGTCCCCCAAGGGTCATCTAGTCCAACCCCCTCCGCAATGCAGGATAGTCACAGCTACCTTCCCCCCCCCCATCCGTGAGCCCTGCTCAAGGCCCAGAGGAAGGCAAAAAATCTCCAGGATCCCTGGGCCAGTCTGGCCTGGAGGAAAATTCCTTCCTGACACCAAAGGAGCAACCGGCACCGGTGTTCCCTCTAAGCTGAGTTGGTGTGAGCCAGCTCACAGTTTTTTAGCCTCCAGCTCACAGATTTCTGTCTTAGTTCAGGAAGGAGGGCTCCAGAGAAAACTAATGGATGCAGTGGCCAAATTGCTCGCTCACAACTTTCATGCCCACAGCTCACTGACGAAGTAGGATTTTTGCTCACAAGGCCCCACAGCTTAGAGGGAGCATTGATCGACACTACCCAGGGCACGTAAGACAGGGCCACGGGCGCCGAGCACTGGCTCCACCCTTCCCGCCCGCCCGCTCACCATCTGCCTAAATTCACAGTGCGTAGTAGAATCAGCACTGCCGTCAAAGGGCCTTCGAGCCTCTGCTTTAAAAATTCCAAGGGCACATCTATGGTTGGCTGCTGGCCATGAGCGTCAGATGGCCCCCTCCATGTTCCCAGGCAGAATGCCTCTGATGGTCTGAGAAGAACCTCAGAAGAGCCCTGCTGGGTCAGACCAGGGAGGGTCCCTCTAGTCCAGCATCCCGTCTCACACAGGGGCCAGCCAGTTCCTCTGGAGGGCCAACAACACGGCATGGAGGTCGAGGCCTTCCCCTGACAAGAACCTCAGCTTTAGTGCCAGTAGCTCACAAAGTAGAATTTTTGCTCACAAGACTCCACAGCTTAGAGGGAACATGGGAGGCATCTGACGTTTGTTCTATGTGGCTCTTGCGTTATGACCCTGCTTCTCTTTGTGGTTCATCGTTGACCTTCCTTCTCCCCCCCCCCGGTTTCCAGGTTTCAACTCTGTGGTGCTACTGAACAGCCCCCCGCCCCCTCCAGGGCTGGCGGCACCTCTCAGCAAACCACCTCCCGGCTTCACCCCGATTCCGCCCGTCTCGGATCTCGCCCCCACGAAAGAGTGAGTAGGCCCCACTCTCAAGGTGGGCGGCCCTCGTGCCTTTGGTCACTCGCAGCTCCCGTGAACGCGAGAAGGGCGGGGAAGTTCCGTCCCCCCCAAACGGCTGGCAGAAACGGAACTTAAGGGAGAGGTGCTCTTTCGCGCGTTCATGTGTGTCCCCCCCCCTAAACGGTAAACTTAGGGAGGAATACGAACCACGCGCCGTCAGAGGGGAGCCCCGTCTACACACACACACACCTTCCTCTGTCTCTGCCTCAGGAGCGGCAGAATAGTGCAGATGTCGCTGGAAGGAAAGAGGCAGAAGCAGCGCTCTGTAGCACACAGCGGTGCGGCGGGAAACCTCCTTCGCATGTAGATAAATGGGCTTGTGGGGGGCAAAATATATTTAAACTAATGTGTTTCTCATATGCTGGGAAAGATTGGAGGTCAAAGAAGACGGGGACGGCAAAGGATGAGATGGCTAGACAGTGTCATAGATGCAACGAACATGAAACTGAGCCAACTTCAGAGGACGGCGGAAGACAGGAGGGCCTGGCGGGATCTGCTCCATGGGGTCGCGAAGAGTCGGACTCGACTGTGCGACTGAGCAACAAACAACAACATAGTGCAGTGGCTGTTTTTCTCACCACTCCTCCAGCGTGCCGGGGACTAAAGTTTGGGAGGGGGTGGAAAGAAGGGCTCTTTTTGTAGCAGGAGCTCCTTTGCATATTAGGCCACACCCCCTAATGTAGCCAATCCTCCAAGAGCTTACAGAGCTCTTCTTACAGGAGCTACTGTAAGCTCTTGGAGGATTGGCTACATTAGGGGGTGTGTCGCCTAATATGCAAATGAGTACCTGCTACAAAAAGAGCCCGAACAGCCTCCTTTAGAGGCTCACCTGCGCGCACACAGGTGCCAGGAGTTCTTTTGCCCTCCCCCACGAAACCCTCAGGCTTTTCCTTCTCCTCCTCTCCCCACCAGGGCCAAGCCGTGTCAGGGAGCCTACCTGATCCTGGAGAACTTCCAGCAGCGGAACACGCAGCTCATCCAGTCGATCAAGGAGTTCCTCCACCACGACGAGTCGCAGTTTAACAAGTTCAAGACGTCCTCGGGACAGTTCAGGCAGGTGAGAAGCGCCCCACGGGCTCCCCGGAAAGACTCACCTGGTTACAGGCCGCAAAAGCGTCAGGAACTAACAACCCTCAGCAGTCAATATACATACAAATACAGTCGTTAGGTTCGACTCGTACTTGTGTACGTTTAATCAGGGCTCTTTTTGTCGCAGGGACTCCTTTGCATATTAGGCCACACACACCCCTAATGTAGCCAATGCTCCAAGAGCTTACAGAGCTCTTCTTACAGGGGCTACTGTAAGCTCTTGGAGGATTGGCTACATTAGGGGTGTGTCCCAGGGCTCTTTTTGTAGCAGGAACTCCTTTGCATATTAGGCCACACACCCCCTAATGTAGCCAATCCTCCAAGAGCTTACAGAGCTCTTCTTACAGGGGCTACTGTAAGCTCTTGGAGGATTGGCTACATTGGGGGGGTGTCGCCTAATATGCAGAGGAGTTCCTGCTACAAAAAGAGCCCTGCTTTAATTATCTAAGTCCAAAACATATTACAACAAAAAGCGACTGCAAACTGTGTTGGAAACGAGCGAAAGCCGCTAACAAATGCCTCCCGTTAGCAGCTTTCACTTTGGACGGCAGGTTTAAAGTAGAGGCGAAAGTTTCCCTTGCTCGAACGCCAGTCGAATCCGCCTCTAGAGGTGCGGTGCTCATCTCCGTTTCCATGCCGAAGAGCCGGCGCTGTCTGAAGACGTTTCCGTGATCACGTGACTAGACGCCGAGGAACATGGAACGCTGTTACCTCCCCACCGTAGTGGTACCTATTTATCTGCTTGCAATTTCTCGCTTTTGAACTGCTAGGTTGGCAGGAGCTGGGACTATAGACGGGAGCTCACTCCGTCACGCGGCACTCGGGTCTCGGAACGGCCAAACTACCGACCTTCCGGTCTGCAGCTCAGCATCCTAACCACTTGAGCCATGGCAGGGTTACCTCCTGCTAAATAGATTAGGCTACATGCCCGCTTTGTAAAAACGTCTACTGGCTTCCCATTGGAATCAATTGATGTGGAGAAGCTTGACAGGTTTTTTACTTGTGGAGGGAAGTGTCTTTTAGGACACAATGGGTGCGTTCAGACGCGCCGTTTCAGCCGGCATAAACTGTACCAGTTGGAACCGGTGCAGTTTATGCCGGCTGAAACGCGATCACACTTACCTCCTGTCTGCGCAGCCCATCGCAATACGCCCGTCCACACTCGTCGTCGGTTTGGTCTTTTTTTAACTTAGTTTGCGCATGCACATAGGCAGCCATCCATAGAATGGCGATCTTCGCGCATGCGCAAAAAACCCTGTCTTACACTTAAACTTTAAAGGTAAGGACTTACCTTTAAAGTTTAAAGAGCACAGTAGCCTCCCTGAGGTCCCGGAAGCCTTTTCTTTTTTAAAAAAAACAAACGGCAGGGCAAAGCTTTGCCCAAGCGCATATCGCCGACCTTTAAAAAAAAATGGCCGGCGAAAATCGGAAGCCTCAGGCTTCCGAACGGAAGTAGCTGTGCAACGTTGGAGAGCGATCAGACGGCGAGGTACAGCGTTTACAACCGTTGCACTCAGGATACCACCACTTGGGGACCTAGTGGCAGAGTGCAACGGTGTAAACGGCTTTACAACGGTTGGGGACAGGAGGCAGATGTTTGCCGTGTGAACGCCGGTAAGTACACCGGTTGGAACCGGCACCTATTCCGTTGTAAAGCCCCCGTCTGAACGCACCCAACGAGGGACGTGACACATTTGGGAAGTCGTGATCTATACACACGGACCAGGAACGTCACACGGGACATTTGTGTCTCTCCCTTGTTTCCGATACAGTTTGTAGTTGTTTTTCATGGTGTAGCATGTTTTGGACTGAAGGTAATTAAATGTACACAAGTGCGAGTCGAACTTAGCAACTGTATCTGTATTTATATTTACCGCAGAAGTGTGAGGCCTGGCGGCAGAGTAGGAGCCCCACTGAATCTACGGACAGGGTAGAATCGGAGATCTCAAGTTGGGTCCCCGTCGTCCCCCCCCCACTAACCTAAACCTGGCCCATTCAGACTCAGCACCCGAAGAAGAAGAAGAAGAAGAAGAGATTGGATTTATACCCTGCCCTTCACTACCCAAAGGAGTCTCAGAGCGGCTTACAAACTCCTTTCCCTCCTCTCCCCACAACAGGCACCCTGTGAGGTAGGTGGGGCTGAGAGAGCTCTGACACAAACTGCTCTTCTTCAAGGACAGCTGTGCCAGAGCTTGTGACTGACCCAAGGTCACATCAGCAGGTGCAAGTGGAGGAGTGGGGGAATCAAACCCGGCTCTCCCAGATTAGAGTCCGCACACTTAACCACTACACCAAACTGGCTCCCTGTAACCGATAAAAGTCTCAGTTGGCTAGTCTCTCTCACAGGGGGGCTGTTCTGTTTTTGCTTGGATGAGCTGTTTAAGCTCCCCCCCCCCCCGCCCCCCCCGAAAAAAGACAGGGATCAGCTTGACCCCCCTGGGCATCGGCAGAACTCAGCATATTGGAGTGAAGAAGAAGAGGAGATTGGATTTATACCACCGCCCTTCACTCAGAGTCTCAGAGTGGCTTACAAACTCCTTTCCCTCCCCCTCCCCACAACAGACACCCCGTGAGGTGGGTGGGGCCGAGAGAGAGCTCTTTCCAGAACTGTCCTTGAGAGGACAGCTCTGACAGAACTATGGCTTGCCCAAGGTCATCCAGCAGGTGCAAGTGGAGGAGTGGGGAATCAAACCTGGTTCTCCCAGACTAGAGTCCGCGCACTTAACCACGACACCAAACTGGCTCTCCAGATAACAAGGGAGTGGGACCAGAAGACATGGGACTCCCATCTCCGTCCCACACTGCAGGGGTGTCAGAGAGGGCATCTGCAAGCGGTAGGCGGGGAGCTCTTGGTGATTGCTCTGGCCTCTGGCTTTGCCGATCAGCAGCGGCGGGTCCATATCCCACTCACCCCTCCCTGAATGTCTCCTTCCTCTTCTCCCCCCGGCCAGGGTCTGATCTCGGCCGCTCAGTATTACCGAAGCTGCCAGGAGCTCCTCGGTGAGAACTTCCAGAAGATCTTCCACGAACTCCTGGTCCTGCTGCCGGACACGGCCAAGCAGCAGGAACTGCTGGCCGCCCACACCGACTCAAAGGCCAAGGAGAAGCCGGCGGGTGGCTGTTGTCCCTCCTCCGGCAAGTCCAAGAAGAACCGGAAGAACGCGTGGCAGGCGGACCCGGGCCCCGACCTCGACTGCTGCGTCTGCCCCCAGTGCCCGCAGGTGCTGACCCCGCGGGATCTGGCGGCCCACAAGGCCCTCCACCTGGAGGACGAGGAGTTTCCCTCCCTGCAGGCCATCAGCCGGATCATCAGCTAGCCTCCGCGGGGGCGAGCAATAAACCCAAGTCTCCGTTCGACGGCTCGCGCATCTTGGGCGACGGCAGGGGAGCCGGGCAGAGAGGAGAGAGAGAGCAGCCAGATCCACGGAGGCTGCAAAAAGGGGGTTGTTGCGAGATTGGGAAAGGGGCAGCCGGGGTGAGTCGCGAGCCCCCGCGGGGAGCCCTCTGGGATTGCGGGGAGGTGCAGCAGAGAGCGTCCGCCGCCTGAACTCATTTGTGGGTTTTGAGCTCCGATAGAGAAAATGGGGGGGGGGGGGGGGGGGGGGGGTTGCTTTTTGTCACCGAGGGGGTTTCTGCCGCAGAAAATGCCAGACGGCAGCACTTGAGAGGCCAGTAGGGCCCTCGCACGATTTGTCTGGAGTATCGGGTCGCTCACACGGTCAAGTTGCCCGGGACACCGGAGACGCTCGGGGGCCGTTACGGGCAGGGGGACCGGGAGCGGGATGCGTGGGGGGTTTCTGCCCGCTTTGCCGGACTCCCATTTGGATCCCCGTCGAAGGCCACCAAAGCAGACAAAGACCCCCCCAGATGGAGCCCCCCAGGCCAAAAAGCTTGCCCATCCCTGTCGTACAGGAAGTTTTGCACCTAGAATGTCAGCCTTTTTTTCCCCCTTTAAAGAAACCCAGATTTGTTTTCCATTAGAACTGCGTGTAGGAAAGAACCCTCCAGGGCATTCGGAGTCCCCCCCCCCCCCCTTGCTGTAAACCACATGTTGCTATAAACCATACCCGTTCCTGGGAGAAATCGGTACTGGCTCAGAACGACGGGTGGGATGGCTCATTAAAAAATGCTGCAACCCATCCGCTCTCTCGGTCTGATGCCTTCCCCTGCTGGGGGCTGCCACCGGGGGGGGGGGGGGGGGGGCTGCCTGTTTCAGGGTCTTTCAGTAGCAGCCATCTCGACCCCAGTTGTCCAGCATCCATGTCCACCCTACGGCCCTTGATAGGCCTTCTTTCTTTCCAACGCCACCCGAGTTGTGGGGGCTGTCTCGGAGGGGCCCCCCTTGAGAGAAGTCAGCATCTCCAGCATCAGCAAATGCAACAATTTTTTTTTGTTAATGTGCCATTCTTGCTAGGCAGGCTGCCTTTGCGGGAGAAGGTGGAACGGTTGCGTGCTTAGAGTGACCCCCCAAAAAAATCTTAAAGTGACCCCCCCCCCAAAAAAAATCTGAACAGAGAAATCTAACCTTTCAGAGCAAGGTTGAGTTAGATCTCTTGTCCCTGAAACGTTCTGTGTTCAAGAAGGTGTATGGCGGGGGTATACCTGTTTGCCACATGCCAGTTAAATGCGGCAATCCATAGCAGTTTGGTCTCCTTGAAGAGCCGTCAGAGAAAGCGGCTGTAGGGTTTTTTTGCCCAAATTTTGATAAAGGGGACTCGGGCAGCTACTGTTTCTGGGAATGGATCATGACCCCTTTGCCTTCCCTCGTTCTAGGGTTCCTTTCCTCCCCAACCCCCCCCCAATGGGATTATGCTTCATCCCTCTGTAAAGTTCCTGGTCTGGTCACAATCCTAATCTGGTGTCACATCTCACAAAAAAAACCCGCCCCCCCCCCCCCCCCCCCCCCGCCACGCACACACTCACTTTTGATGGAAGGTTTAAGATAAATGTTTTGAATTGTTTATTGGAAAATAACTGTTGCAGTTGGCACACAAGACAATTAAAGGAACACAATCATAGATCGGTTGAGAGTGCTCACTCCGAAAGGTGCCGGGGTTGCGTCCTGTGGAGCCGTCCCCCCCCCCCCAAACCCAATGCTCTCCTCCCCTGCAGAGGAAAGTACTCTGAAGCGTCCGGCGTCCTGTATCTGTCTGTCTCTCATCGTTCACGTACATACAAAAAAAAAAGTTGTAAAACGTCTTTAAAAACTTAAAACTTTTCACACCGTCCACTTTTCTACAACACACGAGGGGGTGGGGGCTCCTTAACAACTGCAACTTTTTTTGTGTCACGTTCCGTATTGCGAAGTGGTTTGCTTCCGAAGAAAGGTATGCATGTTTAAGTATCATATTTAAAACCACGTAAAGAAGGCGAGATGGAACCCGAATCGCGGCCGAAGGCAGGCGCCCGAAACGAGGGCCCGAAAGCCCTTTCAGTCTTCAACCGATCTGTTAAGGTGGCGTGAAAATGAAGGCAGGGTTTCCTGTTGTGTCTATTGCAAGGGAAAGGGTTTTTCCCCCCCTCCCCCCCTCCTCTCCCCCCCTTTATTTATAAAGAAGCTGTATTGGAATAATTGGGGGTGGGGGGAAGGCGTAGCTGGACTTTCCTCTTGGAAAAGAAAGTTAACCTGTTTCTACTCCTGCAGCATAGAGACTTGGGAAGCACATGGGGGGGAAGTATTAATTCAGGAGTGGCAGTTGGGGGCAGGAGAGTGACATGGGGGCAAAGGGACCGAGGACTGGATTTGGCAGATGCTTTAGAGGTCACCTAGTCTCGCCGCCCCCCTCCCAGTCTGCTCCCTGCAGGAAATCCAGAAGTGGAGCCCCCCCCCGGCCCCCGAAGACCTCCAGTGGGAGAGAGACACCCCTGCCCCCCCCGGGGCTTGAGGTAACTGGTCCCATCCTCAAACCGCTCTCGCCGGGAGCAAATCTCTCCAAACATTCAGCCAAAAATCTCTCTTCCTTGACCTTGGCTGTCTTCGTCTTGCTTTCTGGAACAGCAAGGGACAAGGGGGTTGGGAGTGAAGTGCCACCTGGAGAACCAGCGCGGTGTAGTAGTTAGTGTCAAACTAGGATCTGAGAGACTCGGGCCCGAATCCCCACTCTGCCACAGAAGCTCGCTGGGTGACCCTGGGCGAGTCACTCTCAGCCTGACCTACCCCACAGGGCTGTTGTGAGGATAGAGGCAGGAGAACAGTGTAAGCTGCTTCAGGTCCCCACTGGGGTGGAAGGTGAGGTAGAAATGAAGTATGTATGTAATAATGAATACTTGTAATGGCCGGGAGGGGGAGGGAACGGCTATAACCAGCCTGCTCTTCAGTTCCTGCATTTTCCTACCGCGCCTTGTTCTCTAAAAGCTGCAGTGGTAACTGCTGCATTCTACCTGGCCGGCGGAAGCAACTGGGGCTTTTCCACAACCGAAGTTCACCTTTCTACGCAGTAGAAAAGAGCCAGAGTCCAGCAGAACCTTAAAGATGAACAACACTTGTGGCAGGAGATGAGCTTTCCTAAGTCTCTGCTCACTTCTTTTTTTTAAATCCCTGGAGGGATGTTTTTTATTTTTTTATAAGACTACAAAACTACAAAGAAAATATAAGGGAAGGGGATTACATCTAAGGATAAAGGATAGATAACCACACTGCACTAAAAATCCAAGAGGAGGAGATCATATCCGTGTTATTAATGAAAGTGTTAGTACAACAATATACTTGTAGAGTTGTTGTTTGTCTCGGCTTCAATGTTAGTAAGTTAGTTGTTGTGAGAACTTTCTGAGCATCTTCTTGTTATTTGCTTCAAAAGGCAATTTTCAGAGTCCTTCTGCCTTTACTTCGGTTTTCTGTCTCTGAAATCATATGTAACTTTCGTTGCGTCTGCACCTGTTTCTACAGCAGAGTCCTCATCCGTTCCAGAGGTAGCCGAGTCACTTGATTTCGATTCTTCATCTTTGGATTCTTCCTCCAATCCCAACTGGCGTCTCAAAAATTCTTTGGCTTTAAAAATGGAGTCAATCTTTTCTCTTTTGTCGTTGATTTTAAAGATGACACCTTCTGGGATCGCCCACCTGTACGAAATTCCATTGGTTTGAAGAAAAGAAATTAAGTCCTCATAGCTTTTCCTCTTTTGGCGAATTTCAAATGGATTGTCTTTTAAAGTTTTAATGTTCATATTCCCCATTTTCAGTGGAGTTGTTGAAGTTGCTTTTAAAATAGCATCTCTGGTCTGTCTTCTTGAGAATCTGACCACAATTTCTCCAGGCAGGCTATTTTTTTTTTAATATAATTGGAGTATGCTCTATAAGCAGTCTCCATCTCTTTTACTACTTCATCTGCTGTTGAACCTATTGCTGGAGCAATAATCTCGCTGAGCAGCTTCCTCAGATCCTCCTTTGCCGATTCAGGAACTCCCTGGAATCTGAGAATCATGTTGGCTTTTTCCATTTGTAGCTGTAACAAACAGTTTTCTTGGAAGTTTTGTTTTGCTTCAACTTTCCCCATTCTTTTCTTCATTTTCTTGTTTGTGGAGTCTATCTCTTTAATTCTCTCAGTCGTATGCTCCACCTTTTTTGCCGTTTCTGTCAGAGCTGCTGGGATGCGAAGTTTTGATTCAGCGAAGTCAGTTGCTGGTTAATACCATCGAGTTGCTCCATCACCGGCTTGAGCATATCCGCTAACATTTTAATGACGTTTGCTCCCTCTTCCGGTTTTGGGCTCTGACTACCCGCTGGTTCCGCTTTAAACTTTCTTTGCGAGGCCACCATTTTATACGATTGTTTACAATTCCAAACTGCTTCTCGCAGACTCGAAAAACCGTCACCTCGATGTCAGCGCTCAATTCTCTCGAAACAAAACCACTGCTTGTTTCCCCTTCGGTTACGCTTATCTGTCCGTTCGCATAAGAGGCGTCCCTCTTTGCGCTCCACTTTTCCCACGGGGGGGGGGGTAGTTCGCTTTTAAAATATTTCGTTTATTTTGAACTCACGTTCATTGTGGTCATTTCTCTGACCTCACTCACAGTAATCGATATTCTGCTCGATCTCCAGCGCTTGTCCCAGTCAAATCAGCTTGTGCCTGAGGGCCACACAGCGGCAGGACCATCAGGGCGGAGGGAAGCCTCAATTCTCCAGCAATTTAGCTGTCGAAGAGGCTGCCCCTCAAAAGCTCTATGGCCTGGAGCCTATCACAAAGGCTCCGTGTGAGTGCTACTTGTGTGCGAGTCGCTCCCCTGAGGTCCGGGGAGAACGACCGCCATCGCTGATCCACAAACCAGAAACCGTCTCTGCTCACTTCTTCAGATACAGCTAGAATGGGAGTCCATCTGTCCTTATATCTTGGATTTCAGATGCCAAGAGTCAATAGCAGGCAAAGGACAATAGCAGTTGAATGACAACAGCCAGCGTGATTGGATTAGGTGTGGTATAGAGGGGTAGCGGGCAGGGAGAAATCAGCGTCGGTAATGAGACAGGAAACCTAGATCTCAATTCAGTCCAGGAGGATGCATTGTCTTGAGCTTCATTATCAGTTGCAACTGAGAAAGAGAGACTGCTGAAGAAGTGAGCCTTGACATGGAAGCTCATCGCCTGCCAGAA